GCGATGTTTTTTTGTTGTATAAATTGCTAAATATGTTTTTCTTTGCTACGATGTACTTATAAAATATTAATTAAAGGTAAAGTGTAAACACATGTAAACATTCCTTAAAAGCATTTAATATATAACAACATGATTAACACAATAGAAAGAATTAAGAGTCACGATAACTAATAACAAAATCGCAATACTTATAAACAGCGTTGTCATTGTGTGGGAAATTTCAAATCGGTTGAGCTCTATTCGGGTTTTAGTAGGGATTGGCGCTATGTGGCATTCTAGCACAGCGTTAATAGAGCCAATCAAACCAAAACCATATAGCGCCAATCCTCACAAAGGCCCCATCTAGTTTAAGTGAGTTAGACTAAGAAGTTTACTTCGAAATTGAGTTACTTGAAACAAGTCTTATTATTATTTGGTTTTGACACCAAAGTGTTCGAGTTGATTGTAATCTAGACAACTTTGCAATTCTTTTAATTGAAAAGTAATATTACGAATATATACCTAATCAGGCGTACATTTTACACCTTTGGACTTTGGACTATCCCCAGCGTTATCTACTTTAGTTTTGCAAAAGAAACCCATTGTCTGTAACTATAATTGAACCAGTGATTCCTCGAGCTTTATCACTAGCAAGGTACATAATCAATTCACCAATCTCCTCGGGAGCACTAACTCTCTTCAGAGGAGTCATCGTCTTAAAATCATCGAAGCTCATGTCGATACCCATGTTTTCTAAGATGTCTGTTGCTACTGGTCCAGGATTGACACTGTTGACTCGGATACCTGTAAGAATAGTATTCGTGGATTTTGGAGTTACTACGATGGAATGGATTAAAATGCATTGAAACAATATCAAAATCAGGTCAATTTCCCTGGACTAGTGTATCTCTGTTGGAAATCAGTCTCTTATAGTGGGTCATTCGGATTAAGATTCTGATATGGAGTTAATATAAATACTAATAATGTACTAGACAGTCAGAACAGTAACTTGGTCTCAAATAGGGTTTTCCCTGTCTGATGATTATCTGAGCAACGGGACCTCCTCATTTAACATGTACAGTGCAAACCACAGTGCAAACCGTTGGGCCGTGGTGGTCGTGTCAGCAAGGCAATTGTGCACTTTATATGTATGACTTTTTATATAATCATGTTTTGGTGATTAGTGCCGTGTTATCACGATGTAAAATAAGTTCATATCAAAGAAGATAACAAAATTAAATCCAGGCACATGACGGTATTAGTGAGATAAATTTTGGCGGGTCACGAATTCACATTACTTTTAATTCGAATTTGTTGTTTAGGTGTTATGAAGTGTCTCTACGGCAGTTTATTTGAAGTGCAGGAACATACCTGCTTCGTAAAATAATAATTAGGTCGTAGTATGACTATATCTTGACTTACGAGAAACGGAAAGTGATCTATATGCATAATGTCTAGTTATTTTTTCACTAAATATAAAGCTACATAAAAATACGCACCTTTAGGAGCAAATTCCAACGCCGCTCCTCTAGTAAAATGATCCAAAGCAGCCTTGGAAACATTATAACTTAGGCTACTTCCATTTCTCGTCACAGACGTCCTCATAGATGCAACGCTTGAAATATTAATGATATTCCCTTTAGTCTTCATTAGATGTGGAAGAGCCAACATAGTAAGTTCAGCTACAGCTCTCATGTTGGTTTTCATTACAGCGTCATAAGCTTCCAAGAATTTCCCATCAGTAAGACTACCAAGTTTGCCAAACCCTGCATTGTTGACCAGTACATCAATTTTGCCAAACGTATTCACAGTTTCATCGATGATTTTCTTAGCGTCTGTAGTGACATCAGCTTTCAGAATCAATGACTTGGCATTCTTTGGAAGTTTTCCGGCTACAGCATTTAGTTTGGTTTCATTTCGCCCGATTATGACTACACTGGCCCCTTGTTCAGCAAACAATATGGCTGTAGCAGCTCCTATACCGGAGCTCGCCCCTGTGACTATCACTGATTTCCCTGTAAAACTCATTTTTGGTATTTTTTCTACTTTCTTATTTTTCTGGTATTGATACAGCACTATTCGACTTTTATAATTTTTCAAAAATTTAGTTTTTTGATTTCGTACTGTTGCTTTAAAATTGTATGTATAAAATTTATTGTTTTGGTGACCGGTAAATGGTAAAGACTATAACGTCTCTATCAAGTACACTATTTCAAATAAAGTAAAGATAAAAACGTGTACATTTATAGTTCTAAATTCAGGGACATACATAGATAATGTTTAATTTGATTATTTATCTCTGATAGGTCCAATAACAATTAAATATTGATTAATTGTTGTAACTGTTTATTAGCAATACCTATTGCCAATCATGATGACAGCTGCATTTGGACGATGGTTCACAACGAGTGTGCGTAGGAATTTATTAAATTAGTTACATCTTCACCGTTCCTCTTTTGGTCGACTAGAAAGTCCAGAATACTTCATCCTTATGTCATCGTTGTTGTTGTTCTAAACTTAATGTATTAATATGCTATCTTTTCGGAAGAAGCGCTTTGATGAACAGGCGTTTTTTAGGCAAACGCGTACCATCGTCAGTCGCATCGTCGTATGTGAGATTGTGATCGTCTATTTCATATTAAAAAAACAATATGGAAAACGTATGATGTCCACAACCCGCCTTGGGTTAGTGTGACGAAGTATGACCTAAATCCTTTCCTAACTTTCCTAACCCCTGAACAATTTGTGAAGTTCCAAATGGCATTCGTCGCGAGCTATGTGCTAACTTTCTCCATAGAGGAGACTCCTACAGAGTTTCCTGAAAAGTACAATTTGGAATTTTTCCAGGTACGGGAGAGAATAGGTATTTTTTAGACAAACACGTACCATCGCCTACCACATCGACTCTCAACATCATTTGAGATCGTGGTGTATTTAATATAAAAAAAACAGCCTATTGAAAACGTTTGTTGTTCCCAATCCGCAATCGGCCAGTGTGACGGATTATGACCTAAACAAGGGTTTCAAGAAAGTCCCAATGTCTTCAAGAAAGGCTTGAAGACATTGGGACGTATAAGGGATGACGAATATGACGATGATTGTTTGACGTTGTATTCCAGTTCCATAATTATATAATAAAATCAGATATGATGATCAAATGCAATCTGTATGAAAGCCAAACGTGCTATATTGTTAGTCCCTCCTATGACGTCACAAGCGTTATTTAGTGATGGGAAATCTTCTTTTGATTAAAATCGAAGACACGCACGCAGTACTTATTTAGACGAATAACGATTTTTCAATTGTTGTAAGAGGCCATGAAATATGAATGTAGTGGAATAATACCAGAATACGATTTATAGAATATTTTTATAACACTTTCTAAGGATTATCATCCCTTTGTTTCCTAAATCGATCAGAATCGAGAAGTGTGTTGCAAGTGAACATCACTAATCGTACAATTTGAGCAAAAACATGACGAAGCAGCCGTACTACGTATTACCGTATTTCTTCCGATCACATTTAACGTACGTAAATAGTTGTGAATGTGAAAGTTCCCGCTTTAGGGTAAGTTGAATGACACGCAAAACACTTGTAACGCTTTTATTTGCTAATTTCATGTTTTGTATTGTACCA